CACTGTCACTCTGTCTTATCCCCAGTGCCCAGCCTGGGGCCAGTGGGGAAGAGGCAACTCACTAGAAGTTTGAAATTAATAAACATTTGGGGCAAAGGGAGCATGGTTGTTGTTGGCTCCTCTGTTCCCTGTGAATACGAAAGGCAGCCAGGAAGGGAGGCTCAGCACCCAGTGTTGGTGGTGTTAAAATGTAATCACTAAGATTAAATGTGTCACATGAGAGTGAGTTTGTTTTCAAATCCAACTGTTTGGGAAAATCATATTCTCCAGTTAAGAGGTGACAAATGCAGAGTCTCATGACTTGCTGGGCCCTGAAGCAGTGTTTTGGGACAGCTTTGTGGTGTTGAAAAAGGAATCCTGAGCTTGCTGAAGAGGGAGCTGGGACAAGGCTGACTACCTAGGGTATCTCGCCTTAGAGGGAAGCAGTGACCTTGGAGAGTCCATCAGACTCCCAGTGTTCCTCCCTCTGCTGGGGACCATCCAGTGATGCTCTGTATCCCACCGTCCTTATCTTTAGAGCATATCCAGCACAATCAGTCTGTCTCTGAAATTGACTGAGATGGACCTCAAAGCCAGACCGCTGGGCAGCCAGCCCCAGTGGAATTTATTCCGCAGCTGCTGAGGATGGGGGTGACATAGGTCTCTTGTGCAGAGGGGCCATCTGCTTGGTCTTGGCCATCTCCTGCCTTAACCATCCATGATGAGGCTTGTCCTTTCTCACATCCACTTTTCTCCCTGCCCACACCACCTCCTGGCCAGAAAGCTGTTCCAGCTGGAATCAGTGGAGCATGGCTGCCTCCCAGCCCAGCCCAGCCCTGACTGCCTTCATTTTCCTTGGTCAAAGGCAAGGGGTCCACTGTGGAGGACAGATCAAGGTTTATTTGAGCTTCCATGGTGGGTCTTGGGGCTGAAATGGCTCATAGGGATACTTTTCCCCAGAGAAGGCTCCTGCCTGGCCTTGACCCCACAGTGGCTGAGCCTGGACGTGTTTTAGGGCCTTTAAGACTTTGTCTTATCTTTGGAACCCAGGCTTATGGACTGTGGCCAGAGGGCACATTCCTATGACAGATTGGGGCATCACCTAGAGAAGTCACTCCACATAGCAACATGACATTTAGAGGAAATAGAAAGCACTACATTTCTACCTACTTTTTTTTTCTTTAAAAGAAATAACAGCCGGGTACTGGTGGCTCACATCTGTAATCCTAGCTACTCAGGAGGTAGAGCTCAGGAGGATCGAGGTTCAAAGCCAGCCTGGGCAAATATTCTGTGAGACCCTATCTCGGAAAACCCTTCACAAAAATAGGGCTGGTGGAGTGGCTCAAGGTGAAGGCCCTGAGTTCCAGCCCCAGGACCGCCAAAAAAAAAAAAAAAAGAAAAGAAATAACGTGGGCCAGGCACCAGTGGCTCACACCTGTAATTCTAGCTACTTGGGAGGCAGAGATCAGGAGGATGGTGATTCAAAGCCAGCCTGACAAATAGTTCAAGAGACACTATCTCAAAAATACCCAACACAAAAAAGGGCTGGTGGAGTGGCTCAAGGTGGCTGGGCATGGTAGAGTGCCTGTCTAGCAAGCATGAGGCCCCAAGTTCAAACCCTAGTACTGCAAAAAAAAAAAAAAGAGAGAGGGAGGGAGGGAGGGAAGGGGGGAGGGAAAGGAAAGAAAGGAAGGAGGGAGGGAGGGAGGGAGGAAAGAAAGAAACAACTTGCTTCTCATCTTCAGGGGCTCTAGAATTGTGTTGGTGAGAAAGAGGCTATGAAGGTCCACAGGACAAAGCTTACAGGGTGGGGAAAGAGGAAACGCAGGGAAACTGTTGAAAGAGGCACTGGGAGGACCATCACGGAACTCAGAGGGTCTGTACCAGTCCTGTGGCAGAACCGCCTGCCTGGCCCCCATACTGCACCCTTCCACAGGACTGACCTGGCCATTGGCTTACTGGAATCTCACTCCCAAATGCTGTTGAGTGCCAGACCTGGCACCGTAAGGAGCAGTCACAGTGGGAAAGCCCTGGGAACCTCTGAATTGCCACACTGATAGTGCTTTCCACAGTCTTAGTTAATCCTTACAACGAAAACATCAGTCAGATCACACCCTTGCCTGCTTCCCACTGCACTTAGCAGAAAACTGAGACTTCCTGTGTATATCTGGCTCCTGTGGTGGTGGTGTTGGATTTTGGCTACACCATTCTCTACCTGAGGGCTAGCAGAGTGGCTCAAGTGGTAAAGTGCCTGCCTAGCAAGTGTGAAGTCCTGAGTTCAAACCCCAGTACTACCACCAAAAAAAAAAAAAAAAAAAAGTATATGTAGTACCATTCTCTGCCTGGAACTTGTTCCTGCCATTCTTGCTGTCCCCAGCAGTTTTTTGCTCAGCTCTTCTCCCTGCTGCTTCCTTCTCACCACACCAGCTCAGATGTCATCTCTTGGGAGATGCCCACCCTAAAGACTCTCAGCAAAGTAGCTGTCACAGCCTTCCAGACATAATGTGTGGAGCCCCCACCATCTGAAACTATCACTGGCTGTAATTCATGAGTCTTAACAGGTGTAGAGTAGATTTTTTCCTACCTTCCTGGAATTGTCATTGAAGCTCAAAGTGAAGACAGAAGACAGAGTGCCTCCCCCATTCCAAACTCAAGTTGCTATAGGCAGCTGGGTCTGGCCAGAGGTGCCACCTGGGAGAACCAGCTCTGCCCCCACCCCACTCCTCTGCCTGGGGGAGGGGACTTTGGGTGAGTGTAGTGTTTGTGGTGAGAAATTCCTCCCTCCCCTCCTGAGGCCAAGGGAAAGAGACTTCTGAAGAGCATGCAGGCCCTGGGCTGCACAGGCAGGGGAAGTAGGATGTACTGTGTGTGCTGTGTCACCCTGATGTCACCTGTGCCCCACCCAGCCAGCCCAGAGTCAGCCCTTAGCCCATAGGTGTTGCTACAAGGGCTGGGTGTTGTCACTAGCTGTGACTTACAGACAAGGTCATTGAAGGCAGGGAATGTGCCTGGCTTGCCTCAGGAGCAAAGCTGGACTTTGAAGCCAGGCCTGTCTGACTTCCCACATTCACTCCTGGGCTGCAAGGTGTGGCTCAAGCGGTAGCGTACCTGCCTAGCAAGCTCAAAGCCCTGAGTTCAAGCCCCAGTACTGCCACGTTCACTCCTGTTTCCTTGTCTCCCTGACCACCCAGTAGAGCTTGTGCTTATCATTCAGGGGGCCCTGGGTTCAGTCCCTCACACTGAGCTCCAAAATGTGGGTTTCCAAAACTGTGGGTACAAGCCCAGCTCATTTTCTGTGTTTGTTGTGTTTCCTGCCTCCCCTTACTTCCTCACACAATGGCCAGTTCAGAGAAGACCGAACTCAGTTGTAATTGTATATGTGTGAATACAAAAGGAAGGTTTCGAGAGCAGTATCCCAGAGTGTTAGCCCTGGTTATCTTTCAGTGGAAGGGAGATGGAGATAGGGCTAGAAGAGTAATCAAAATGGAACTTTCAAGTTTTACTCTGTAATTTCGTCTTACCTGACCTTTTGTGATTACACATTCTTATATCACATATGTAATAAAGTGTTCTTAAGGAAATTACCCTGGACCTGTTTTTACAGATGCCTGTCTTCCTGGCCCAGAAATACTGTGCTCTCCTTCTGGGTGGGGTGTGGAAGGGGCAAGGATCATGGGGCCTCCTTGCCTCTATCCCTCTGAGTCCAGTGTGCTTCTGGCCTTCTTGCTACAGCAGACAACATTCTATGACTGCTTCTTCCAGAAGGAGCTGCAGATCATGGGCATCACTTTTGGAGTTTTCAGTTTAATGTTCAACCTGAATCTGTGGCCAGTTGAGTGAAGGTTGGCACTGCTCTGTCCAACTTCTATGCTGGCCCCACACCTTGTTTTAATTAATATTTCCTATGGGAAAGCCTTTATAAAAGCTTATCAATTGATATAAACCTGAAAGTGGAGAGTTAAACAGACATCTCTGTACACAATAACCAAGGGGCAGAAGCAACCCAAGTGCCCATCTACAAATGTACCACAAAATGTGGTACATCCATAAAATGGAGTATTATTGAACCTTTAAAAGGAAGGAAATTCTGGGACTGGATGTAGTGGCACAAACCTGTAATCCCAGCACTTGGGAGGCTGAGGCAGGAGGATTGAGAATTTGAGATCAAGCTGGGACTACACAAAGAGATCCTGTCTCATCCCCTGTCCCTGAAAAAAAGGGAAGAAAATTCTGTTAAAGGCTTTAACATGGATGAACCTTGAGGATATTGAAATAAATCAGCCACAAAAGGACAAATTCTGTGTGACTCACTCATATGAGGTACCTGGAGCAGTCAAACTCACGGAGACAAAAGTGGAATGGAGAACCAGGCATGGTGGTACACACTTGTAATATCAGCACTCAGGAGACTGAGACAGGAGGATCACAAGTTCAAGGCCAGCCTGGGCTACATCTGTGGCTCACGCTTGTAATCCTAGCTACTCAGGAAGCAGAGGGTCAAAGGATCTCGGTTCGAGCCAGTCTCAACAAATAGTTCACAAGACCCTATCTCGAAAAAACATTCACAAAAATAGGGCTGGTGGAGTGGCTCAAGGTGAAAGCCCTAGTACTGCAAATAAATAGACAAAAGACTAAATAAAAGAGAGCCAGAGAGGGGAAGAGAAGGGAGGGAGGGGGCCTCCAGGGTTGGAAGAGGAGGGAGGAGCGTTTCTTTTTAGTGAGGAGAGTTTCACTTAGCAGTGTGAAGTACTGAACACCACTAAGCTATGCACTGAAAAGCGGTTAAAGTGGCAATTTTTGTGTATATTTTACCTGTGTCTTAAAGCAGTGCTGCACATTAGGTTTTACATTATAACTTTGTTTTGGTTGGTTTGGTTTTCGCGGTACTAGGGTTTGAACTCAGGGCCCTGCACTTGCTAGGCAGGAACTTTATCACTTGAGCCACACCCCCAGCCCTATATTATAATTCTTTACTTTTCAGTCAGTGTTTTTATAAAATAGCATTTTTTTTCTACTTTCAGATGAGTGTTCCGGATGCAAGAGAAACCAAAATGGTGTGGCCGTTTACCAAAACCTGCTAAAGCTGACTTCCCTGACATCTCTGGACCCTTGTGCCGTCCGGGGCAGAAAGGTTAGTCTGGTGCATGTGGGTGAATATTGTGCTCGTGTGCCCAGGACAGTAGCTTCTAGCAAAGGCAGGCATGAGTCACAAAAACAGTGGTGTTGCTGTTGGAGCTTGCTGTCCAGAGTCTAGATAGCACATCTCACACACCTCTCATGTGTGGAAATCAAGCTGCCAACACAACAAATCAGTACCACACCCCCTGAGACTGGCTGGCTTATTTGGGCCCAGCAATGTTTGCTTTTGAAGCTGTAGAACCTTTCATTTATTTCTTTCTAAGAAAGAAATGATCCACCATGTGGATCCTGGGTGGATCTTCCTGAGTGGAGAGCTGATTGCAGCAGGGTCAGACTTTTGAACCCCTTCTGGGAGCCCTATTCCTAGCTTCTCTTTACCCAGAACCCGCATGGCCTGTTCTGGTAACACATGAGCTCTGTGAAAAGAAGTTATGCTTCAAAGCTCTCTTAAATGGAAGCCTTCCTAGTACTTAATAGAAAGTGCTTTATAGAAAACAAAAAATAAGTTCTTTAAAATGTGAAACTTCAAATCAAATACATGTGCTAAAAATGGTTTTTAATCCTACAGGGTGTGGGATGACAGGCAGGTTAACAGAAAAACCTTGAAGAGGGGACTGGAGGATTTAGTCGCTCTTTGCTCCCCTCCTGGCAGCCCAGGGTCCTCCTGCCAGGCGCACCAGGCACCATGGACTCTCCAGGATACAACTGCTTTGTGGACAGAGGCAAGATGGAAGCTGCCATCCAAGACCTGGGGCCGAAGGAGCTGAGCTGCACTGAGCTGCAGGAACTGAAGCAGCTGGCTCGCCAGGGCTACTGGGCTCAGAGCCACGCCCTGCGGGGAAAGGTGTACCAGCGCCTGATCCGGGACATCCCCTGCCGCACTGTCACGCCTGACGCCAGTGTGTACAGTGACATTGTAGGCAAGATTGTGGGCAAGCACAGCAGCAGCAGCCTGCCCCTGCCTGAGTTTGTGGACAACACCCAGGTGCCCAGCTACTGCCTGAACGCACGGGGGGAGGGGGCTGTGCGGAAAATCCTGCTGTGCATCGCCAACCAGTTCCCTGACATCTCCTTCTGCCCTGCCCTGCCAGCCGTGGTGGCCCTGCTCCTACACTACAGCATCGACGAGGCTGAGTGCTTCGAGAAGGCCTGCCGCATCCTGGCCTGCAATGACCCCAGCAAGAAGCTCATTGACCAGAGCTTCCTGGCCTTTGAGTCGTCCTGCATGACGTTTGGGGACCTGGTGAATAAGTACTGCCAGGCGGCCCACAAGCTGATGGTGGCCGTGTCAGAAGATGTCCTGCAAGTCTACTCTGACTGGCAGCGCTGGCTGTTCGGGGAGCTGCCCCTAAACTACTTTGCCCGTGTCTTCGATGTCTTCCTGGTGGAAGGCTACAAGGTGCTGTACCGCGTGGCTCTGGCCATACTCAAGTTCTTCCACAAGGTGAGAGCGGGCCAGCCCCTCGAGTCTGACAGCGTGAAGCAGGACATCCGCATGTTTGTCAAGGAGATTGCCAAGACGGTGTCTCCTGAGAAACTGCTGGAGAAAGCGTTTGCCATCCGCCTCTTCTCCGCAAGGAGATCCAGCTCCTGCAAATGGCCAATGAGAAAGCGCTGAAGCAGAAGGGTATCACTGTCAAGCAGAAGAGGTAGGCAGTCCCCAGGCCCGCACGCAGACATCAGGCTGCGAGGCGTCTGCCTAAGAGTGGGGACTTTGGTGGAATGCATCCTTGGGGTCTGGGCAGGAGCTCTTCCTGCCAGCCTCTTGGTCTGCTTCTGACCACCTGACCACCTGTCTGCTGTGGATAGAGAGACACTAGAAAGCAGGAAGGGTCCTCATGGACCAAGACCCATGGCTGAGAGTGAAGCTGGACCCCCAGGGAGGTCAGAAGGTCCAGCGGGGGCTCATGTCAGAGCAGGCCCTGCTCCATCCTCCAGCTCCAGGCTTCATGCTAATTGTTCTCTTGCCTGCTGAATGTGTCCTCTCTGCCCTCGGCACAGCCCCTAGGGAGCAAGGCCGGGAAGGGTCATGGCGTAAGGCAGCTGGCACTGTGATGTTGCTGTCAGCATGGCTGTTGGCATGGAGTTTTGTTTCTCCTGGGCCAAAGGATGGTGTGTCTGGGATCAGTACCCACTACTAACCTCTCCTTGTCTGTTTTATTTTTCTTCTTCATGTCCGTTGCTTCCTCCTGTTTTTCAGTGTCTCACTTTCTAAAAGGTAGGTTTCAAACCAAACCTCAAACACCTGGCTTCTCTGCCCTTCTCCTGGCCTGGTCTGGGCCAGCTGCTTGCTCTTTCCCAGGGCCTGGGTGGCTCTTGCGGTCTGGCTTCCGCTTGATACCTCAGCCTGACTAACTCAGGCACTGTCGGTCTGTCCAACTTGCTGCCTTCATTGTGTGATCTGCTGGTGCTTGGCTGGCCTGCAGCCTTGTCTTGCTAGAGCTACTCCTTCTGTCTTGATTTCTTAGAGAAAAGGTGCTTATGTCGTCCCTCTCCTCAAGCTGGGTGCTCTCCCCTTTGTAGCAGGTGGGAGGTGGGGCTCCTGGGAATACCTCCACCCATTTCTTCCTATTTGGCACCTAGAGCCAGGCTGCAAACCTGGCTGATCAGGTGAGATGCTCCCTCCAGGCTTAGTTCCCAAAGAGAGGTTCTGGAGCCTCAGGGCGGGGGTGGTCAGGTCTGTGTCCCTGTGGGCTCTGACCCTTTCCTGCTCTCCCCAGGCAGTTTGTGCACTTGGCTGTCCACGCAGAGAACTTCCGTTCAGAGATTGTCAGCGTGAAGGAGATGAGAGACATCTGGTCCTGGGTCCCAGAGAGGTTTGCTCTCTGCCAGCCCCTCCTGCTCTTCTCCTCCCTGCAGCATGGGTACAGCCTAACCAGGTGAGGCCCCAGGAGTCTCAGGGAAGTCACAGGGCCCCCATGCACATCCTGCCTGTCACTTCCAGGAGGTCACAGGGATGGCCAGAAATGAGCCTTTGAATCTGCGCCTCTGGTGAGGCCCACCCTCTTCTGGTGGTGCCTAAAAATCAGGAGTCCCTTTTCTGGGCTTCTGTCACCCCAGGCCACCCAGACTTTGGAGGCCATTGCTTCATTCAACACAGCTCAGGGCCTCAGATTGATACTGTGAAGACATGAGGGGCCACTTCCACCTCAGGAACTCACAGAACTGTTGGGGAGAGAACCATGTGGGACAACTGGTCCTGGCTCCCTTGCCCCCTTCAACCCCACCCAATGTTGATCATAAGCTTAGCCCAGGTGGCCCTTCGTGGGAGTCTGCCTGTGTAGCTCTTGGCCAGGTGGCTCTTGGTCAGTCATCTGTGTGGTGTTCTGGTAGGGGTCTGCTCCCCACCCTTACCCCCCAAGGTAGCTTGGCCAGGTTCTGCTGGTGTTCAGTACTTTGAGTCCCAGATAGCCAGTCACAAACTCTAGCTTGTGACCTGGCAGGGGTGATCCAGGCAGAGCTGGCCCAGCCCCCACCCCAGGCCCCTGTCTGTGGCCATACAAGCATTTTGGTGTAGCTGAAGCCACTTCACCCTTCCCCAGGGATGCCAGCCAAGCCTGGACACCACACCAGCACCCTCGGGCCTCCCTGTGTGCCCAGCTGTTGAGCTTTCCCACAGGGAGGACCTGTTCTTCGGGTTCTTGCTTGCCTGAAGCACCTGGCACGTGACTGTGCCTGCAGGGGCCATCTGCTGTAAGGCTTCTCCCTCATCCTGTCAGCAGGCAGCCTGGGATAGCCAAGCAGGGCCAGGTGAGGACATTGCAGGTCCTTAGCCACTGTGAACAGAAGATGGTGAGAGAAGGACACAGCTCCCAAACCTCTCAGCCCCCAGATTTCTGGGGCTGAGGGTCAGTGGAGGCTGACAGGAGGTGGTGGAGAGGGCATGTGGGGTAAGCACATGTGGTCTTTGCCTCCAGGTTCTATTTCCAGTGTGAAGGACATGAGCCCACCCTCCTGCTTCTCAAGACCACACAGAAGGAGGTGAGGAGGGGCCAAAGGGAACTGGGGAACCTGGTCTTTAGCTCACTGGACTGATGCCAAAATCTGAGTGTCCAAACAGAGCTTGAGGGCCCTGGGGGAGACGAAAATGTCCTGGAGCCGAGGGTATACTTCCCTGAACTCAGCCCTCTCCCACCGCCCCTCCTTTCCCTCAGAAGTAGGGGCCTGCCGCACACAGCATCCCACAGCTATGACTTGTGACTTGGCCCCTGGGCAGGCCTGAACAAAGGGAGATGTTCCTGGGGACAGGCAGGCACAGCCTTACCGTGGCCTTCTTCCCCAGGTGTGTGGAGCTTATCTGTCAACAGATTGGAGTGAGAGAAATAAATTTGGAGGCAAACTGGGCTTCTTTGGGACTGGAGAATGCTTTGTGTTCAGGGTGAGTGTGGCTGAGTGTGGGGTCTCCTGAGTAGGCTCCTGACCAGACAAGAGGAGTTCGGGAGTCAGTAGTCCTTGCACCCTGGGCACCCCAGCTTAGTTGGCCTTGGCTTATTTTTATTGTAGCAGTTATCCTAAAAGGTAATCTCATTTACTTCTGGATTTTAATGGCTATACCATGAGTGCCTCAAGACTCAGTAGGGCCTTATCTGCTCCTGTGATGCCATCTCACCAGCCCCTGGCTCACGCTCCTCCCACAGCTGACTTGTGGGATGGAGATGGGCTGTGGGTCTGGGTGGGGGGAGGCAGAAGGTGCCCAGCTGGGTGCCACATGCCAGTGACTCATGCTGTCCGTTCACTCTCAGCTGCAGCCGGAGGTGCAGCGTTACGAGTGGGTGGTCATCAAGCACCCAGAGCTAACCAAGCCGACAGCCTTCATGTCTTCAGAATCTACTGCTACTCCCTCCACATTCGGCCACTCCATCTCTTCAGACCCTGCTGACCGGCTCTCACCATTCCTGGCTGCTCGGCACTTCAACCTACCCTCTAAGACCGAGTCCATGTTCATGGCTGGGGGCAACGACTGCCTTATCATTGGTGGGCGCCAGCTGCCTCCGCCTCAGCCTGGGCCCTGACTGCCCTGGGAGGAAGGCATGGGGAATTGTGGGCGGCTGAAGCCCCTGTGCCCACCCCTTGCTGACCCTGGTCATAGGTGTCTTGCCTAAGCTTTTGTGATGGCAGAGGAAGAGACTCTGGCTGGTTGCAGGGTAGACCAGACATGAGGGACGGGAGAAATGGGCTGGGAAGTAAGTGACAGCCTGGACACCCTGTCGAAGGTCAGCTTGTGGTTTCAGAGAGCTCTGCAGAGCAAAGAGAAATGATTCTCTGAGATTGTCACCTCAAGGGCAGTGCTAATGGGGTGTGGGGAAGAGGGTGCTGCAGGGCCACTGACCTGAGCATTCCACAGGGGGAGGAGGTGGCCAGGCGCTCTACATTGACGGGGATCTGAATCGAGGCCGCACTGGACACTGTGATACTTTCAACAACCAGCCCCTCTGCTCGGAGAACTTCCTCATTGCTGCCGTGGAGGCCTGGGGCTTCCAAGACCCTGACACCCAGTGATGGTGACTGAGCCGTTGCTGTGGGATGGGGTGGGGACTGGGCTGCCTCTTCAGAGAGCAGGGAGTAATTGAGACCCCCCCCCCATATGGTGGGCAGTAGGGGTACCACAGCCTCACCAGGCCAAGCCTAGCCCTATTTGGATTGGTTGCCCCTCTACCTTGGACTTGGATCCAGGCACTTTGAGCCTACCTACTTCTCTGTTAGAGCTCAGATGGGGCCCCAACTGTGCCCAGTGCCTGCACAGTAAGTTCTCTCTGCCCCCACCCAGGGCCCTCTGTGGAGATGTCCTGAGCCCAAGGCTGTGAGGGTGGGGTGTGGGACTACATCTCCCTGCCTGTGAGCCTCTGTGGAGCCTCTGCTCCTACTGGAGGGGATGAAAAGTCAAAGGAACTTTCTGCCAAATGTGTGTCTGTGGTGCCCCCTGCTGGTGCCTTGAGGTATCACTGCCTCCTGGGGTGCTCCTCTCTAAAGGGTGGGTCTTGAGGAGACAGGTGCCCTAGGGACTGTTCCCTGCAGGACCCCAGCCTGGGGGTATCTCCTCAGGCCCATGACTCAGGCCTCATCCCTTAGGTGTCTCTTCTCCAGCAGCTACACCACTCTGAGACTCCCTTGGGCTGCGCTAGGTGCTGCAGGGTGGAAGGGAGGAGAGCAGGATTTTTGCTGACTTCTGTGGCTCCTTATTTTCCACCAAGGAGGGTCAAGGGCCAGTGGGATGGGGGCTGGAGGGGACTTCATGTGTCCTTGTGTTTCTGCACAGCCTGAAGCTCTTGCTGGGCCTTGCTGGGAGTCCACACCTGAAGAGGTGACCTCAGGAGGGACCCTCTTTGACCAACCTGACCAACCAATTCAGTTGCCAAGGACCTGCCCTGAGATGCCTGGACTCATGGGGGTTTCTTTCCTTCTTCGCCTCCAGCCTCCCTCAGGCTCTGCTTTGTGGCTGCTATGTCCCCTCCTTGTCACTGCAGCAAGTGGGGCCTAGGCCCATACCCCTTAGCATGCATGCTTATCTCAGCACCCCCTTCTTGATTCACTTTGCCTGGACCTGATGACCTCCCTTTGTATCACTTTCCCGACACTGTGGCTGGCCACACGTCATTGTTTTCATTGTGCTGCCTCTCCCCCTTATGTCCTTTACCACTGAGCCCTGCACTAGCCCAGTGCACAGCTGGTGCCAAGGGAAGAGCTGCCTCTGAGCACTGTAGGGGCACCATCTCCATGTGACTTTCCCTCCCACCCTGTGACCTCCCTCAGCACTCTTGAGGGTCTAGGCACCACAGAGGAAAGAGGGGAGAAACAGTGACCCAAGTGGCCATGTGGGGCATGGAAGTCTGGCTGTCAGGGACAGGTCCCCATGCTGGAACACCTCAGAGTTGCTATGAGGCATGCCAATGCCTGTTCCCATACCATCTTCCAGCAGAGCCATGGTGGTACAGAGGACAGCCCAGGAACCCCGTGTGGCTTTGGGCAGGCCAGTAAACCTGCCTGGAACTTATGTTTCCCATCTATGAAAGGGGACAGTCCTCCTGCTCTGTTGTCCTCAAGGATGGGGGGACCCTGTGAATCCCTGTTGAGGGGAAAGTGCTAGAGGAGGTGTTGCTCACCCCCATAGAGCACTTGCCACCCCTTTCCTCTGAGCCCACCACCAGGGCCTATACCGCCAACTTTGGTCTTCATTAAACACCATCTTGTCTTTTGTTGGGGACTTTTGGGGACAGGATCTTGCTACATCACCTAGGCTGGCCTGGAACTTGAGATCCTCCTGCCTCAGCCTCCTGAGAGTGCTGGGATTACAGGCATGACGCCTGCTTAAACATGGTCTACACTGGATCTTAGCCAAAAGGCGGAGAGGTGATCATTAAACAGTCTTGTAGCAGTGGCTGCAGGGCTCTGGTCTTGTGTCTTCAGTCAGAGGGCCCCTGGGCTTCCCTGGATGTGCCATCCTGATGCTCATCCCTGCATCATCATGGTGACTTTGAAGGCCTTTTAAAAATGAAACCTTTCAGGAGAAGAGGTTAAACTGAGCATTGT